AACTAGCTTTTAATATTTAATTTCTATGGATCATAGGTTTGTTTCATAGTTCCTATGAAACCTGCCCTTAAGAGTAAATAAAAAATAATTATTATAGCATTCTTCAAACATCTGTGTTTGAATGATGACTGTGCTGAGCAGGAGGGGCTGAGGCCACAGTTTAATGAGGTAGTAAAAGAAAAACTGGCTCAAGATATTTTTCCTCTCCTCTTCCTCCCCATGAATTTTTGCCAAGGCAGATGACACACCAAGCTGTGCTACACTGCAAACTCAGAGAATTGATCCAAGTCAGAAGTACCTCCCCCTGTTTTTCTTCCTTTAGACACCACTGATAAGGGAAACTGGCAACATTCACTTGGGCTTACTACCCAAATGCCCATGTCCTTAGGCCAAACTCTGAAACCCTGATTCTGTACTCAGGAAACCTGGCATTTAGCAACAGAAATTCAAAGCCAAAGAGACATAACTCCAGACTGCATTGTCACAGATGACCCATCTCAGCTTCACTGCTAAGTTATCTTGCTGCCAAGTAAGTTTTCAACACAACAGCCTTCCAGTGTAGGAATTTTGAGAATCTCCAAAAGAGGAAAACATTCCTCAGAGGGGAAAAAAAGCAACAATAAAAAAAAGTGAAGACAAACCAAATCCAACTTTACCCAGCAACATCTTGGAGAAAAAGAAATGAATGAAGGAAGAAGTTGTGGATAGCTCTTTATCTGATTTTATACAGTCAGCATAGACATGCTTTATCATCCCCTACAATATAAGCAATCCAACATTTTTAGTACTGTAAAGAAGCAAATATCTTTTTTTTTTTGTACTGAAGAGAGTTAATTTTCATCTATTTCCTTCATTCAGGCAACTGCTTAATGCATTGATCTTCCATGCATTTCCATTTTCTCCACCAATACATTTCTTATAATTGGAATGAGCTGCTCTATTAAGCTTCTTAATAGATTCTATGTTCTCAAAACCCAATAACTTCAGGACAATACATTAAAATAGACAACAAATTAAGCTTGGTGTTTGCACATGTGAGACCCCATCAACAGTGACCTTTAAAGTTACGGCAAGGACGCTGCTTAAAATTGGTTGCAGAAAAGCCAGTATCTAATTTGTCTAATTGCATTAGTTTGTGCCAATGGTACAACATCCTGAGACTCCTTGCGATTTGCTGGTGGCCAGGAAAAAAATCACAGTCCTGATGTCAACTGGCAATGGACATGTGCAGGTGTCAATGAATTAACTTAAGAGCTGTGGGTCCATAGTGGTTATGGAAAAACCAGAACATCTGTATTTACCTGTATCATGTAGCTCAGGCACAGCCCAGTTTGAGCAATGAAGTCTGGTCTTAGATTTGTATATACAAGGAACATTGAGCATTACACACAGCACAAAACTATTTTGACAGTCTAGTGTATTTATTTCAATTATATCAATTGAATCCACTAGCTATGCCACAATATCACATTAACTTAGTTTGAAATACAATGTGAAGAGAGTTTTTATTTACAAACCATTACAAAGATGTAATTCCATTTAAAAAAACACCAAGATAAAATAATTCTCTCAAAGCTAGTTGGCCCTGGTATGATTTCTGCCTCCTCCCATAGCTGTAGAGTCAGCTACCTTCACGTGTATTTTATATCACTTCTTAATTCAGTCAGAGATTTCCACCACAGCTAAAGAACAAGGTGACCTAACAACATACAGGTTGAACTCCTTAAACTAGAGCAACTAGAGCCAGGGGAGGGGAATGCCCAACACATACATTGCAAACTGCTGGCGTGACTATTTGCCAGACACCCAGGCCACAACCCAGCCTTTAGGACAGGGAATGAGACCCATCTGCTCCAGCACATGTATCACTAATTCCAGCCTGAAATCATACTGAAGCAACACTGAGGAATGAGGTCTAATTCTGGTAAAGTGAATCTGGGTAGTCAACCAAAAATGGAAAATACTCTTCATCCAGCTTTATCCTTCCTAGGAAATATTTTATTTAAAAGCCAGCTCCCAGCTGCTCTTCCCCTGGCGTTAGCCTTTGCTAACCACTTGCACGGATAGCTCCACGGGTAACATCAGCAACACAGCTGTCCTCTTGGCTGCCCATTGCTCCCTCACCTCTCATCTACTTTTGATTCTAATGTCTGTTTCTTTGCAAATTCGGTTTCTCTTCCAAGTTACACATTTCTGCAGCCTGGCAGGTTCAACTGTTGATGCTGAAATCCCCTTGCTCACAGGCAATTAGTCAGCATACTCTTCTAGGTGAAATATTTTGGGTCACAATTCATTTTGTGTTACCCCCACCTGGATGACCTGTAGGGCATCTTCCAGGAGATTACTTTTTTGTAAGTTTAACACGGAAATTATTGTACAAAACACTTTGCTTTTGTTACAGGTTTTCATGTTTGCCTAAGGCTTAATCATGAATGTGGCTGCTAATTATTTGCATCTCCTGCAGCGCTGACTAGGTTTATCCAAGATAAGAACAGTTCAGCCCCCTGTTCCACCACCTGCCAGCGCAGGACTGTTGCCAGTGATTCCCTCCCATAACCTAGGCTGTTTTTCACAGCTAAGTAGGAGCAGTAAATGTTTTTGTTTTCTAGAAGTTTTCCTTGGAGGCTACAGTGAGGGACTTGGGTCACAGCCCAGGCATTAGCTTCCCCTCTGCCCAAGGACCTGGCGAGGGGAGCACAAGTCACAGGCTCAGCCCAGTGGCAGGAAACGTGTTTCTGAGAACAGGGTGCAGGTACTGGGGGGTTTAAGTAACTCTGGCGGTTTCTTAACACAGTGCAAGGCCTCTCTCTAGAGCAAACCTCCCCAGCTGCAGGTCAGAGTGCCACTGCATCACCAGGATGGTGCTGAGCACTCAGCCCATTACAGCACTGACCACTGCCCTTCCTGGTCCCAAGGGGCACAACTGAAACATTCCATGTTAAAAACAGGCCAAAACCACTATTAGAGATCACTGTTAATATTAAAATCAAGATTTATTTAGTATTTGGTGATCAAAACCAAGTACCTTTGTTAGCAGGTCTGGGGTAGTTCTGCCCCAAAGCAGCATTAACATCTCTCCCAGCTACGCTGTAGCACAGGGGTTATTTTCAGATTAATGCAGCAACAATTCCAACCTCCACGTTGTGCAGCTATCTCACACAGTGGCCTTCCCTGCAGAGCTGTAAATGACAGACTAGGAGCACTCAGCAAATACAGGGGCCATGGTCAGGCTCCCTGTCCCACCAACAGGATGGTGCCAGGATCCCTGGCCAGAGCCAGGCTCTGCTGGGTTGAGCACTAAACTAGGTGTCTCTCATCTGCCACCAAAATTAAGTCAGCATGATAAGAGATGGCAAAACCTCTGCCTTTCTTTTATCAGGGCTCACAAAAGAAATGTCGAATAATCTAACAGTCATCACACCTGAAACGTTTTCATGTTCTTTTGGCTCCTTGAGTGGTTCTCTCCACAATGAAAACAAGACTGAAGACCACCATTTCCCCATTTTTGTCTCTGGCAGAGCTATTATGGACGAACTACATCTAAACTATTTTTCATTATATATAAATAGCAAATGTGAGAACTTAAAAGTGTTGCAATGGTAACTTCTCAGCCACTCAAAAACACAACTACTTGTCACATGTGAATACGTGGAAGGTGCAAAACAACTGCACCTAAGGTCAAAGTTTGCTTGTAACAGCATAAAAACTGGATTAATAGGGAACACTTCCTTGATGGTTTAGATTAGACCAAGCCTAGCACAGTATGACAGAAGAGGAAACAATCCTGCCAAACAAAGCCACGGTGGACCATCCCGTGCCACTCTGCAGGGCAAAGTGCCAACAGCTTTGTTGTAAATCTCTGAAGGCAGCAGTTGTCTATTCAGCAGAGACTCTTTCAATTATTCAAACATAAAACATGATTTCGGTCATGTGACCTCATTTGAATCTCACAGGGGGAAAAAAAATTACCGACAAATTTATTTGAGTCAAGCATCAGCCTAGTATCATATAGACAAAGATGGATGCATTAGAATTTCAGTATCAGTACACAGAACATTATGAGATTAATTAAGAAAATCCCAAAATACTACATGTTCACAAAACCAGTCTTCAAACCCATTGAACAGGAAGTTTTTGTGTGAGGCAGCCTGATCCCACATGGGATTCATATCTGAGATAGCAAATATTACTACAGTGTAATAATAATAATGAATTTCAGCTTGATGATAAAGAATAAACTTATTCAGAAAGGAGACCAAGAAATTACTGATATTATCTGCCCCAGGATGAAGTATTAAAAACAGGTATATCACAGTAACTGCTTGTTGCCATATATGGCATAGAAAATAAATTCTTCTGCTCTTCCAACAGAATGATCATTCAAAGCCTTCTGTCATACAGACTTCAACTCTCAGATAATTTAACAGGATTGAAACTATGTACTACCTCTTCTCCCCATTCATCTTAAGTCTAACACTGCATCTTCAAAAAAAGCTGGCTGGACATAGGAAGAAGCAAGTTACCCTGTCTGTGCTTACCTCAAAGAAAATCCCAGAGTAGCTACACACTTTAGGGAAAGGTGTGATCCTGCTTGCCCAGAAAGCTGCAATCATTGAAGGATCTACTGACAGTCTCAGTGTGTCTTAACTGGAAAACTAACACAAGATCTGGATGGAACACTACTTTAAAGATCTCAATACCTGGTGAAAAGTAGAAAAAAGTAAGATGCTTTCATGTAGGACCAGTTGATCGAAGCGCAGGAGAGAGGTACTCAGATGGCATTTGCCAGCACATCAAAGATAAGAGAATTTCCAAAACTCTTGCCCAGCAACAGTTGATCTTCACACCTTTTAACAGAAGATTTGCCAAAGGTAAAATTTAGGCAATGGCTCAAAGTACTGCCGACACAGAAACATACTTTTGAGACATCCAGGAGGAGTTTTCTCCCACTGACATCCAATTATACTAAGAAAAAACACAAACAATATTCTGTTATCGACATTAAAATACTTTATTGGCTAGATAGAATGTGCAGTATGCATAGAAATATACTGAAATACAAAGTCCTCCAGAATATTCATGTAGAAAACCCACAATCCATACTTCTACATCTTATTTATACACATTGCCAAATGTATTCAAGAGTGTGAATAAGGGTGTGTTCGCATTTTTTCTTCTCTTGAAAGTACATCTAGTGTAGTCCAAGGCCTTTTTGTTTCTTCAACAGAAAATTGCACAGCTACCCTATTTCCTCGTTTGGTGTGAAATCTGATGAAATTTTACATACTCTTCTCTCCTTTGCTAGATCCTTTCAAGCTTGACTTCTGTCTCTTTTTCTCCCTTTGTCCCAGTATGCGATAAACTTTTTTCTTAGCCTCCTTTTGCCTCTTGAACTTCTGTTCATCCTCATTCTGCTTGACTTTGAGATATTCTTTAAGCTGTTCCCGATGTTTTACTTTGGCTTTCTTTATCTTGTAATTATTCACTGTACTCAAAGCACTGAGTAGGGCTGATATCTAAAACAGAAAATAGACAATCAATATACACACAGCTCAGTTTTGGTGAGCAACAAACAGTTTAAGCACAGCAGAGACACATATAAATAAATCAGAGATTCAAGGCAAGTTCCTAATTATCTCTGCACCTGTTATCCAATTTCTAAAATGGTTTAATTATGTATCTTGTTAGGAAGTTAATCAAAGCTTTAATTTTGTGAACTCTGATTTTGGTGAGACACTGTTTAAAAGGCTATGCCTAATTGCTACTATAGAACACTTAAATTGCAGTTTGGAACTTCTTGCCTTTGCAAGCACTCTAGTTCTCAATTTTTGAAGCTGAGTATTAGCTTCAAATCCTGTCTGTGTTAATAATGCATGGCAATGACAAGTCAAATAAAAAACTGCAGCTGCCAATTTAAGTCACCCATAATATGAGAGCACTTAATCCAAGTGAAATACCTTGCAAGTGCTGTGACAAGGACAAAAGTCACATTTAGGCTTCAGGTGACCTACTAGTCTAAAGAATAGACACCATTCACTCAGTGGCAGTTCCATACACATACTGTGTGCCAGACAGGAACAAATCAAACCGCAGGTGATAATTTTTCACGAGGGGCATATATGTCTTTAGCACTAGCAGTGGATTCAAGTGCCAAAACAATAGTTAGAAATGTTTTAAACAACACATTTACCCTTCAGGAGTCCTTGTTTCAGGATATGTGTTAATTACCTTCTTTTCATGAGGCTCTCTGATAACAGCTGGTCTCCACTGGTCTTTTGGAGTCTTGCCTTTCTTCTCAAGATTCTTCGGCTTGTTCTTAAAAGGCAGTGCCTTCTGCAGTGCTTTAGGAATGTGGAGCTTATTGAAATGCCTCTTCTCCCTCACAATAGGCTAAAAAAATGAATATAGGACATACACAAGATTAATGATCTTAAAAAGGTTTTATTTTCCAGCTCTCAGAGGAGAAAAACCCTCAAAACACCACAAATCACAAAGAAACACACACCCCCCAAAAAAACCCCAAAAACATTATTGGACATCCTTGCACTGAACTGTAAATGGTATGTTCACATTGATTACAATGACAGAAATTTCAGTAAGCTTCTAGAGAAGACTTGTACCCTGTAGATTACTTTATAAACTTTCACTGACCCACAATAATCTGCTTTCCACTAGTTGTACTCCCATCTCATGCCAGGACCATGCCTTGTGGATAAAAATATGAAGCCACACATGCTTATGTATGAACACGGATTTACACTGCTCTCAGTTTGCACAGGTCTGAGACATAGTGCAAATGTGACTGTGATCACTGGTTTAAAAAACAAAAACCAAGCCAAAACCATATACCTTATAGAGAGAATCCTTGTTCTGTTTCAGTTTGATGCCTCGCTCATACCTCAGCTGGCCTGTTGTCTTCATTCCACTCCAACTATCTTTCTCACCTGCTGGCTTCAGCAAGGATGTTACAGGGTTATAAAATGCTGGGATAGAAACAGGATACCAAGTTCTCACAAAGACAATATCTGAAAGAAAAGGAAATGTTACTTGGCTCTAAAACAACAGTTCATCACCTCCACACTCTTAGTAAAGATTGCTTGAATAGAACAGATACCTAGACCATGAGGTAGTATTATGTTTGGTGTATATATATATATATATAATCTCTTCAACATTAGGCAAAAGCAATGTGACTACTTGTACACTTGGATTCTGCAAAAATCCATAAAGCCATGAACAGTACATACACCTGACGAGCAGCCAGCTGAATACCATCCTATTCATATTCATATTCAAGAACTAGCAACATAGATGAACTATGTGCCCTACAATTAATGACAAAACCAATTTTCTTTTCTTCTATTTTTATAAAAGAACTAACTTGCTTTTATTTTGCACTATCTGTAATTTCAATGGGTTTAGAAGTCATATAAACTCATATTCTCAATGTCACAGTGACACTCAGCAAATACAGAAGATAACCTACCTGCATAATTTCCCAAAAAGGTTAGGGGTTAGGAGTTAGAATGCCAGTCCTTGGATTTCTCAGAAAAATGTCCTTCTAGCACTTGCACCACTAAATTCAATTCATCATGTTCAAGGACAAAGGCATACCATACTGTGTGAAACACTAAAACACTTGAAAATACCTATTTTCAACTCAACCCTTTTTATCTGCATACTATATGATTTCTGAGTATAACTGAAAGAAATCCCAAAATAAAATGCACATTTTTTTAAAAAAAATTTCATCCTGCATCTCACCAGACATTTCAGGCTCTCTGAATTCACATATCAATTATCAGATTCCAGAATTCTGAGACACGGCTTTCCAATCTGTGAAGCAGGATGAAAGTTGTGCGATAACTTACATGGAAAGTGCAACTTACCACTCATCAGCAACTTGTCTTCAAATGTTGCTCTGAAAGCACCTACAGGAGCTCGGAGGGCCTTTTTGATCTGTCCTCGGATACCACTCACAGTACGGATTGCTGCACCTTCAAATTTAGCCACTTCCAGCTGAGAGTTAAACATTCCCTGAAAATGTGAATTGACCACCATCATTCAGGATGCTAAGCCTCCCTGTGTGACCTTTGTAGGCCAGAAAAACTTAATTCCCACAAGCATATCTTATAAAGAGAAAGGAGGAACATAACATTGTCTTTAGACTAAGAGTGCTGATCATACCAAAAACCCACCAAGCTGACTTTAAGGTAAACTACTGAAAGTAATCTACTTAGATTCATGTATCACAGGCAAGGTTTCTAAGCATTAAATACATACACTTCAACTTCTAAAACAGAACATATCTAACAGAAGCTTTACAGTTCTTCTTTGAAATAATTAATACCTTAAAAGCAAGCCAGCTGCCTTTAAGTTGCTAGCTATGAGATTCTAATATAGTATAGCTCTGCAAGGTTTGTGCTCATTTCACAACTCACAAGGAAACTAGGAAAAACAATCTGCCTATGCCTAGTGTGAATACCTGAGTGCTTCACTGTTGGAATCCCTGATTAGCTGCTTGCTGCCCCAAATGCAGAATAACCTAACCTCTTCCTGAGCCTGAAAGCACAACTAAGGACAGCTGGAAGGTCAATGAACATTTCACTTCTGCAACACTTCCTGCTCCAAACACTTTAACTGTAATTGAGAAGTCTTAAGCACTGCTAGAAGTCATCTTTGATTCCAGAGCTGAAATTCAGTGGGATCAAAATGCCTGAATGATACCAGAGACAGGTTCACATTCTCCAGAGGTGTCTGCCACTGTGGGAAGATAATCAGTAGATTTTAGGAAGGAAGCAGGGGGCTAGGAAGGAAAAAATAAATTACAAAATCACATTGATTGTGAACCAGAAGACTATTCCAGATTTTTTTCTGGTTAAGAATAATTCCTATTCCTTGGCTAATGATCAGTACCTACACTGAAGGGAGCTCAAAAAACACAAGCAGCTACTGAGATCCAGAATAGCATGCAACAATAATGGATAACTTCTGCCTCAGGAAATACAATCCCAGGCTGCATTCCTTCCTCCCATGAGTACATGTGGTTTGAGAGTATACATACCTACACACTTACCTTAATAAAACAAGTGTTCTTAAAAATTTTGAATGGAAACCCAGTTAACTTTAATTTTTTTACAATAGTTATGGATTTATCTAAATCGAGCACAACTCCTGTTGCAGCAATCCGGAAGTCAGGCTGAAATATGCAGAGATGAAAGACACTGCTGAACATATGTTATCAAATAACATATTTATTAAACAGTGAAAAAACAATTTAGAATCACAGAATAGTTTGGATTGGAAGGTTAACTAGTCCAACTCTCCTGCAATGAGCAGGGACATCTTCCACTAGATCAGGTTGCTCAGTGCCCCATCCAATCTGACCTTGAACATTTATAGGGATGGGGCATCTACCACCTCTGGTCAACTATTCCAGTGTTTTACCACCCTCTTCATCCCTCTATCTCCTCTAAATCAACCCTCTTAGTTTAAAGCCATTCTCCCTTGTCCTATTGTAGCAGGCCCTGCTAAGAAGTTTATTCCCACCTTTCATAAAAGCCCCCTTTAAGTACTAACAGGCTGCAATGAGGTTTCCCCAGAACCTTGTCTCCTCCATACTCAACAACCGCAACTCTCTCAGTCTTTCCTCATAGGAGAGATCCTCCATCCCTCCAATCATCAGGAGATCCTCCTCTGAACCCACTGCAACAGGTCGCTCTCTTTCCTGTGCTGAGAGCCCGAGAGCTAGATGCAGTACTCCAGGTGAGGTCTTATGAGAGCAGGACAGAGGGGTAGAATCACCTCACGACCTGCTGGCCATACTACTTTTGATGCAGTCTAGGATGGGTGGCTTTCTGTGCTGCAAGCACACATTGCCAGCTAATGTCCAGCCTCTCATCCTCCAATACACCCAAGTCCTTCTCAGCAGGGCTGCTCTCAATCCCGTCATCTCCCAAGCCTGTATTGACACTCGGGGCTGCCCCAACTCAGATGCAACTTGGCCTTGTTGAACCTTACGAGGTTCCCACAGGACCTCGCTTCTTAAGGTTGTCAAGGTCCATCCCTCAGGTGTGTCAACTGCACCACTTAGGTTGGTGTCATCTGCAAACTTGCACTCAAAGCTACTATCTACGTCACTGATGAAGACATCAAACAGTACTTGCCCAGTACAGACCCCTGAGGGCCACCACCTGTCACCAAGGTACATCAGAGAACTGAGTCACTGACCAGTTCCTCCTGGACATAACCATTCAACCAACTCCTCATCCACTAACCAGTCCATCCATTGAATGAATATGTGTCCAACTTAGAGAGAAGGATGTTGTGGGGGACCTGCATTCCACATTTCACTACTTTAAGAGTTCAGAATTTCTAGCTTTTGCAGGAATACAGCAGCATGAAAAATGCAAATTGACTAGTGCAGACTAGTTGAGGTGCTGCTGACATAACATTCCTACCATGCACTAATGAGATTTTCAGAACTGCCATTCTAATTTCCTTGAAAGCAATCTAAGAGTCCTTGTTATCTACCTCGCTGTGTTCTCTCCATGAAACAGAATCTTATTCAGATAGAAAGTCTCAAAGGAGAAGTGCTTTGTGCACTGCTCTAAGTCACTATATTGTGCTAGAGTCACATGATGAAAATAGCCTTTTACTACATAGAACAAGATGACTGTGCAATAGGACTTAAGGCATATTTTAGGCAGGAGATAATAATCACCATTCAGATTACTGTCAAGGTCATTACAATCCATGCAAAGCTTTCAGTTATACACTGTAAACATAAATCTACCTTTGAGTAATATACA